ATATTGGGAAATATTCGATTTGCGACGAATCCGAAGATTAGCCAACTTCGGATGCCGCGAATCGAAATTTTCCCAAAAATGGCGGGTGACATGTGTGGCGACGGAGCGGGGATCTCTGGGAAGGCGCGCAGACAAGGCGCGCTGACCCATAATGCATTCATTCATGACATGTGATCGCATTAGCCAATCAGCAGCCAGCCAGCCAGCACTGTGTAATGGTCGAGCTATAAATGGCGGCCATCTTACAATTCTCCATTTGCCTCCGGTCATTCAAGAGAGACAGACCTCTCTGTATTAGGGACAGAGTTAGGGGCCACAGATACTTTAGGGACACAGAATCGTTACGTAGGGACACAGAATTGTTACTCAGGGACACAGAACTGTTACTCAGGGACACAGAACTGGTGTTACTCAGGGACACAGAACTGTTACTCAGGGACAGACACAGAATTGTTACTGAGGGACACAGAATTGTTACTGAGGGACACAGAATTGTTACTGAGGGACACAGAATTGTTACTCAGGGACAGACACAGAATTGTTACTGAGGGACACAGAACTGTTACTCAGGGACACAGAACTATTACTCAGGGACACAGAAACTGTTACTCAGGGACACAGAATTGTTACTCAGGGACAGACACAGAATTGTTACTGAGGGACACAGAATTGTTACTGAGGGACACAGAATTGTTACTGAGGGACACAGAATTGTTACTCAGGGACACATAGAATTGTTACTCAGGGACACAGAATTGTTTACTCAGGGACACAGAACTGTTACTCAGGGACACAGAATTGTTACTCAGGCAAGACACAGAAATTGTTACTGAGGGACACAGAATTGTTACTGAGGGACACAGAATTGTTACTCAGGGACAGACACAGAATTGTTACTGAGGGACACAGAATTGTTACTCAGGGACACAGAACTGTTACTCAGGGACACAGAACTGTTACTCAGGGACACAGAATTGTTACTCAGGGACAGACACAGAATTGTTACTGAGGGACACAGAATTGTTACTGAGGGACACAGAATTGTTACTCAGGGACAGACACAGAATTGTTACTGAGGGACACAGAACTCAGGGACACAGAATTGTTACTCAGGGACACAGAATTGTTACTCAGGGGACACAGAACTGTTACTCAGGGACACAGAATTGTTACTCAGGGGACACAGAATTGTTACTGAGGGACACAGAATTGTTACTGAGGGACACAGAATTGTTACTCAGGGACACAGAATTGTTACTCAGGGACACAGAATTGTTACTGAGGGACACAGAATTGTTACTCAGGGACACAGAATTGTTACTCAGGGACACAGAACTGTTACTCAGGGACACAGAATTGTTACTCAGGGACACAGAATTGTTACTCAGGGACACAGAATTGTTACTGAGGGACACAGAATTGTTACTCAGGGACACAGAATTGTTACTCAGGGACACAGAATTGTTACTCAGGGACACAGAACTGTTACTCAGGGACACAGAATTGTTACTCAGGGACAGACACAGAATTGTTACTGAGGGACACAGAATTGTTACTGAGGGACACAGAATTGTTACTGAGGGACACAGAATTGTTACTCAGGGACACAGAATTGTTACTCAGGGACACAGAATTGTTACTCAGGGACACAGAATTGTTACTCAGGGACACAGAATTGTTACTCAGGGACACAGAATTGTTACTGAGGGGACACAGAATTGTTACTGAGGGACACAGAAATTGTTACTGAGGGACACAGAATTGTTACTCAGGGACACAGAACTGTTACTCAGGGACACAGAATTGTTACTCAGGGACACAGAAACTGTTACTCAGGGACACAGAATTGTTACTCAGGGACAGGGACACAGAATTGTTACTCAGGGACACAGAATTGTTACTGAGGGACACAGAATTGTTACTCAGGGACACAGAATTGTTACTTCAGGGACACAGAATTGTTACTCAGGGACACAGAACTGTTACTCAGGGACACAGAATTGTTACTCAGGGACACAGAATTGTTACTCAGGGGACACAGAATTGTTACTCAGGGACACAGAATTGTTACTGAGGACACAGAATTGTTACTGAGGGACACAGAATTGTTACTGAGGGACACAGAGTTACTGAGGGACACAGAATTGTTACTCAGGGACACAGAATTGTTACGTTCAGGGACACAGAATTGTTACTCAGGGACACAGAATTGTTACTCAGGGACACAGAATTGTTACTGAGGGACACAGAATTGTTACTCAGGGACAGACACAGAATTGTTACTCAGGGACACAGAATTGTTACTGAGGGACACAGAATTGTTACTACAGAATGTTACTCAGACACAGAATTGTTACTGAGGGACACAGAATTGTTACTGAGGGACACAGAATTGTTACTGAGGGACACAGAATTGTTACTCAGGGACACAGAATTGTTACTCAGGGACAGACACAGAATTGTTACTGAGGGACACAGAATTGTTACTGAGGGACACAGAATTGTTACTGAGGGACACAGAATTGTTACTGAGGGACACAGAATTGTTACTCAGGACACAGACACAGACACAGAATTGTTACTCAGGGACACAGAATTGTTACTCAGGGACACAGAATTGTTACTCAGGGACACAGAATTGTTACTCAGGGACAGACACAGAATTGTTACTGAGGGACACAGAATTGTTACTGAGGGACACAGAATTGTTACTCAGGGACAGACACAGAATTGTTGTTACTGAGGGACACAGAATTGTTACTGAGGACACAGAATTGTTACTGAGGGACACAGAATTGTTACTCAGGGACACAGAATTGTTACTCAGGGACAGGGGACACAGAATTGTTACTCAGGGACACAGAATTGTTACTGAGGGACACAGAATTGTTACTCAGGGGACACAGAATTGTTACTCAGGGACACAGAATTGTTACTCAGGGACACAGAATTGTTACTCAGGGACACAGAATTGTTACTCAGGGACAGACACAGAATTGTTACTGAGGGACACAGAATTGTTACTCAGACAGTTACACAGAATTGTTACTGAGGGACACAGAATTGTTACTCAGGGACACAGAATTGTTACTCAGGGACACAGAATTGTTACTGAGGGACACAGAATTGTTACTCAGGGACACAGAATTGTTACTCAGGGACACAGAATTGTTACTCAGGGGACACAGAATTGTTACTCAGGGACACAGAATTGTTACTCAGGGACACAGAATTGTTGTTACTCAGGGACACAGAATTGTTACTCAGGGGACACAGAATTGTTACTCAGGGACACAGAATTGTTACTCAGGGACACAGAATTGTTACTGAGGGACACAGAATTGTTACTCAGGGACAGGGACACAGAATTGTTACTCAGGGACAGACACAGAATTGTTACTCAGGGACACAGAATTGTTACTGAGGGACACAGAATTGTTACTGAGGGACACAGAATTGTTACTGAGGGACACAGAATTGTTACTGAGGGATTGTTACTCAGGGACACAGAATTGTTACTCAGGGACACAGAATTGTTACTCAGGGACACAGAATTGTTACTGAGGGACACAGAATTGTTACTCAGGGACACAGAATTGTTACTCAGGGACACAGAATTGTTACTCAGGGACACAGAATCGTTGAATTAAAGAGTATGTCAGACAACACGCAGAGGAGTGGCAGAGGAGGCAATGTTTACAGGAGAGGAGCAGACGTGGCAGCAGAGGAAGGGGTCGAGGCAGCACTAGTCGCAGCCAGAGGCCAGTGCTCCCCGGTGTCATCCAGCGGTCGTGTCTCCACCGACAACCCTGCCGTCATCGATTGGTTGGCTCGGTCGTCTTCCTCTTCCCAGGTCACCTCTGACACCTACAGCCAACGGTCGGTGGGGTACGTCAGACACAACCGTTAGTTGGCATGGCCCGGGAGCAAGCCCACTGAAATCACGTGTCCTCTACCTGCCCCTGTCCTTTGGTGTTCCCTCACCAAGCGAAGTATCGCATGCTGTGGGCTCAGCCCCACTGTACAGTGAGGAAGAGCTAACAGAGGGCGGTCAGGAACGGGGGAGACATCCGCCTCTTCAGCAGCCAGGCGAAGAAGTACTGGCGAGGAGAGTGGCTCGGTAGCCGGTCTAGAGACAGGTCTGTCTCCTGACCCACACGCAGCCGAGGGGGGCTAGTAGTGAGGCGGAGACCCTAATTGATGATGATGAGGCTGATCGCACTTGGCAGCCTCGTCGTCATCAGGAATCTATTGCTTCGCATCATCAGGAGTAAAGAGGGTGCCAGCTTGGCAGCGAGCAAAACAGTCGGTGGGTTGCCCAGGAGGCAGCAGGGTCGCAGCAGTGTCAGTGGAGGCAAACGGCCACGGAGTAGAGCACCAGCTCCACTGCTGGTGGGTTCCAGTTTTGTCATAGGGTGCTGCCAGATTACGGGCCTCCCATTGCTGCTGCCAGGCCCGTAATCTGCCATGGGCCCATGGTAATTTTAGCCTCCTCATGCTGCTGCCAGGTCCAGAGCCCCAGTACCGTATGTCTGCCAGGTCCAGAGTGTGTCATGGGTCCCTGTACGGCCTCCCATTGCTGCTGTCTCCATCGCCACACTCTGCCATGTGCCACTTTCAGGTCTCCTCACACTGCTGGTGGGTTCCATTTTGTCATAGGGTGCTGGCAGATTACGGGCCTCCCATTGCTGCTGCCAGGCCCGTAATCTGCCATGGGCCCCCGTACCGACTCTCCTCATGCTGCTGCCAGGCCCGTAATCTGTCATGGGCCCCTGTACCGCCTCCTCATGCTGCTGCCAGGTCCAGAGTGTCTCATGGGTCCCTGTAGGCCTCCCATTTGCTGCTGTCTCCATCGCCACACTCTGCCATGTGCCACTCTTTTCAGGTCTCCTCACACTGCTGGTGGGTTCCATTTTGTCATAGGGTGCTGGCAGATTACGGGCCTCCCATTGCTGCTGCTGCCAGGCCCGTAATCTGCCATGGGCCCCTGTACCGCCTCCTCATGCTGCTGCCAGGTCCAGAGTGTCTCATGGGTCCCTGTACGGCCTCCCATTGCTGCTGTCTCCATCGCCACACTCTGCCATGTGCCACTTTCAGGTCTCCTCACACTGCTGGTGGGTTCCATTTTGTCATAGGGTGCTGGCAGATTACGGGCCTCCCATTGCTGCTGCCAGGCCCTGTAATCTGCCATGGGCCCCTGTACCGCCTCCTCATGCTGCTGCCAGGTCCAGAGTGTCTCATGGGTCCCTGTACGGCCTCCCATTGCTGCTGCTCTCTCCATCGCCACACTCTGCCATGTGCCACTTTCAGGTCCTCACTCACACTGCTGGTGGGTTCCATTTTGTCATAGGGTGCTGGCAGATTACGGGCCTCCCATTTGCTGCTGCCAGGCCCGTAATCTGCCATGGGCCCCTGTACCGCCTCCTCATGCTGCTGCCAGGTCCAGAGTGTCTCATGGGTCCCTGTACGGCCTCCCATTGCTGCTGTCTCCATCGCCACACTCTGCCATGTGCCACTTTCAGGTCTCCTCACACTGCTGGTGGGTTCCATTTTGTCATAGGGTGCTGGCAGATTACGGGCCTCCCATTGCTGCTGCCAGGCCCGTAATCTGCCATGGGCCCCTGTACCGCCTCCTCATGCTGCTGCCAGGTCCAGAGTGTCTCATGGGTCCCTGTACGGCCTCCCATTGCTGCTGTCTCCATCGCCACACTTACACTGCCATGTGGCCATCCAGGTTTCAGGTCTCCTCACACTGCTGGTGGGTTCCATTTTTGTCATAGGGTGCTGGCAGATTACGGGCCTCCCATTGCTGCTGCCAGGCCCGTAATCTGCCATGGGCCCCCGTACCGACTCCTCATGCTGCTGCCAGGCCCGTAATCTGTCATGGGCCCCTGTACCGCCTCCTCATGCTGCTGCCAGGTCCAGAGTGTCTCATGGGTCCCTGTACGGCCTCCCATTGCTGCTGTCTCCATCGCCACACTCTGCCATGTGCCACTTTCAGGTCTCCTCACACTGCTGGTGGGTTCCATTTTGTCATAGGGTGCTGGCAGATTACGGGCCTCCCATTGCTGCTGCCAGGCCCGTAATCTGCCATGGGCCCCTGTACTGCCTCCTCATGCTGCTGCCAGGTCCAGAGTGTCTCATGGGTCCCTGTACGGCCTCCCATTGCTGCTGTCTCCATCGCCACACTCTGCCATGTGCCACTTTCAGGTCTCCTCACACTGCTGGTGGGTTCCATTTTGTCATAGGGTGCTGTATGGCCTCCCATTGCTGCTGCCTCCACCGCACACACTGTGGCTCCACACTCTGGTTTTGGCCCCGTGACTGCCCAAATGAGTTAAGTGTGCGGTGATTCTAAGATCGACGGCACTCATCTGCATGTCATACTGACTGACAGTATTATTTCTCTTCCCCAGCAGACTCCAAGGGCATTTAAATTAAAGATACAGTGTTCTGCACTAATATAAAGGCTCTCTGAAGCCTAGAAACACCCTTTTTATAAGTTAAATTCGCAGCGAATATATTCGACTCGAATCGAATTTATTCCTCGAATTCGCCGAATCAGCCGAATCGAATTTTTGAATACTTCGCTCATCTCTAATTATTATAGTTATTTCACTTCACAATAGGCACGTGTGATTACACCATATATATGTGTAATTTTGCTCCATTCATATATATATGGATGAGGTTTTTTCATCTCTGAACTTCATCTAAGTCACAACAATAGAAGAACACAGTCTGCTGAACATAATACTACACAAACATTAGATGTTGCCATGGTTTAATTGCACATAACATGTAAACATTCACAGTGCAGGGAGGAAAAAGTATGTGAGGCCCTAGCTTAATGACTTCTCCCAGAGCTAATTGGAGCCAGGAGTGAGCCAACCTTGACTCCAATCAGTGTGATGATATTGGATGTGTTGCTGACAGCTGTCCTGCCCTTAAAAAACACACACTCTGTTTTGGGTTTACTGGTTTCAAGAAGCACTGTCTGATGTGAACCATGCCTCGCAGAAAAGAGCTCTCAGAAGACCTACGATCAAGAATTGTTGACTTGCATGAAGCTGGAAAGGGTTACAAAAGTATCTCCAAAAGCCTTGATGTTCATGTGTCCACGGTAAGACAGACTGTCTACAAATGGTGAAAGTTTAGCACTGTTGCTACTCTCCCTAGGGATGGTCGTCCTGTAAAAATGACTGCAAGAGCACCAGCGCAGAATGCTGCATGAGGTAAAGAAGAATCCCAGAGTGTCAGCTAAAGACCTACAGAAATCTCTGGCACATGCTAACATTTTTGTTGACACATCTACAATAAGGAAAACATAAACAAGAATGGAGTACATGGGGGGACACCACGGAGGAAGCCATTGCTGTCCAAAAAGAATATTGCAGCACATTTGAAGTTTGCAAAAGAGCACCTGGATGTTCCACAGCACTACTGGCAAAATATACTGTGGACAGATGAAACCAAGATTGAGTTGTTTGGGAAGAACACACAACACTATGTGTGGAGAAAAAAAGGCACAGCACACCAACATCAAAACCTCATCCCCACTGTAAAACATGGCGGAGGGAGCATCATGGTTTGGGGCTGCTTTGCTGCCTCAGGGCCTGGACGGATTGTTGTCATTGATGGGAAAATGAATTCCAGAGTTTATCAAGACATTTTGCAGGAAAACGTACGACCATCTGTCCGCCAACTGAAGCTCCGCAGAGGATGGGTGATGCAACAGGACAATGACCCAAAGCATACAAGTAATTCAACAAAACAATGGCTGCAACAGCACAGAATACGCCTTCTGGAGTGGCCCAGTCAGAGTCCTGACCTCAACCCGATTGAAATGCTGTGGCATGACCTTAAGAGAGCGATTCACACCAGAAATCCCAAGAATATTGCTACACTGAAACAGTTTTGTGAAGAGGAGTGGTCCAAAAATACTCCAGATCGTTGTGCAGGTCTAATCTGCAACTACAGGAAACGTTTGGTTGAGGTTATTGCTGCCAAAGGAGGGTCAACCAGTTATTAAGTCCAAAGGTTCACATACTTTTTTCCTCCCTGCACTGTGAATGAATTTTACATGTTATGTACAATTAAACCATGGTAACATCTAATGTTTGTGTAGTATTATGTTCAGCAGACTGTGTTCTTCTATTGTTGTGACTTAGATGACGTTCAGAGCACATTTTATGCCCAATTCATGCAAAACATCCTTTGGGATTTATACACACATTTACTTTATTTAATATTTTGAATTTCAAAAAAACACTTGGGAGCGCAGGAGGTTCACACCATCACAGAACATTGAGCGTAAAAGGTTGCAGATAGCAACACAAGTCGCTTGGGATGTTGACAACAAGGCCTTAAACATGATCCACATAGGTGAAAGAGCGGGTAAGATAAAAAAAAATTCTACTCTAATCTCCACTAAAGAGGACACTAAAATCCTATACATGAAGGGTACCCATATTGGTCAGCAGCCCTGCAGGGTCATTAGACCGCATCTCTCTCTATATAAAAAAGTATCACTTGTGGTGACCAAATGGATAAACATGAGTCGGGGTAGGTGTACTGACAACAGTGACAAGTTTGCATTACCAGGAGGAAAAAAATGTGGAAAGTAGAAATGAAAAAAGAGGGAGAGGAACGTGAAAAGAAGAAGGAAAACGCAAGAGTGCGTCCATTTCAGGAATCCATCACCCTAGGTGTCTGGTACCTGTAGATAAGATAGACAGGGGTTCCTGCAATCTTATGGAATAAGGCTTGTTCATTCCATAAGACACTCACAATCTTTTCATTCAGCATGATCCAGGTTGGCTTACACTTCATCGAGGCCAGGTCGATCTTTTCCAGGCTGTCACTCAATCAAGCTTGCGTGTGTATCTTGTGATATAGTCCACTGGGCATTCAAACAGTGCTGGTAAAGCATCTTTGGGAATGTTGACCATGGTCACTAAATGTATGAGAGAGTGGATCCTGGTCCAAAAGTGGAGAACCTTGGGATAGGTCAACCACATATGGAGGGACGTAACCACCTGGCCACAACCTCGAAAGCAGGAGGATGAGGGGCCCAGATACATTTTGGTGACGTGTTCCGGTACCAGGCACCATCTGGTGTACACTTTGTAGCCCTCCTAAGCCAATGCTACCTGTTACACCTTCTGGATATGACACCACCATACATGTTTTTCTCTTCACTCGATAGGTAGAGCATAATGTTTCAGCACCTGCTTCATGTTCAATATACAGTATGGCTTTCTTGGGTCCTTCACAACAGCTTTGGGGCCTCCTATACAGTTGATGGGTTTTCCCACAGACCACATCTCATCTGGTTCCCCATGTAAGTTAATTGACTTGCACCATACACCAACAACTGCATTGTATGGATATCTATTGCCATATGCTTCACACATTTGAGTGCGTTGAGGATCTCTTTTTTGTGCATTTCCATGTCCAGGTTCTAGCGGCACCAGCTCATGTGGACATATTTATGTTATATATCATTTGTTTGTTCTGGATTTTTGGATGATATTCTGTCTCATCATTTAAAATACGCCTATGATAAAAATTATAGACCCTTCATTTCTTTGTAAGTACAAAAACGTACAAAATCTGCACGGAATCAAATCATTATTTCCCCCACTGTAGATTGATATGCACTTCATATATATTTGTGGTCAGATGCTCTTCACATTATTTGATTAATTCATTCAGTGATAATTGATACTTCAGAACTAAAATGTTCTGTGTAACTGCTGGGCAATACAGCGGACCTGTCACCAGATATATTATAAATGTGCAGCATGTCGTCTGTGTACCCCTTCCAGGTATTTATTTACCTCCCACAGAGATCACATGATTCCCCCTGATAGTGTCTTCATCTGCTGACTCAGGGCCAACATAGTCATGTAAATCCTGTGCCTGTGCAGTTCTTGGCTGTGTTCACAAATGTCTGACACACATCAGCCCCCTGCTTCAGGCTCTCACCTTGTGACTTTCTACAAAGTTACAATGTACAGTGTGATCACTGGGGGAGGAGAAACTGAGGAAATGCCTTCTCCTCCTTCTACAAAGTTACAATGTACAGGCTGATCACTGGGGGAGGAGAATGAGGAAATGCTTCCTCCTGCCTGCAGCAGACTGATGACATCATCACAGCCTAAGAAGAGTCCCTGACTGGACTTTTTTCTAATGATAAAAGGTGGACCTCTCTGACACAAATATACTGCTGCTGTACTGTATATTGTGATCTGTCAGAAAATGATTCATGCATTCATGTAAGGTCACTGGCAGGTCCACTGTAATGTGAAAAGAGTGATTATGTGAGTATTATTACAACCAGAGCTTTTTTTCACAAAGCATGGAACTCCCCCCTTCCAACCCCCCCATGTCTCCGCCCCCTACTCACCTCCGATCACTATTCCTTGGTTCCACCCCCTACCCACCTCCCAGTGTTGCCCCTTTAAAAGAATACAGAAGCAAGAATCATTTTGAGGTGCTATATAAATTTGTTTGGAATTTGACAGTGAAAATACAAGAAAGGCAGTAAGATAGATCCCCTGTAGATAGCAACAGATCCCCCCCCCCCCCCCCAGCAACAATGGACCTCAAGTGACAATAGATTCATCCAAGCAACAATATGGACCATCAAGAGCAACAATAGACTCCTCCTCCCTCAACAGTAAATCCCTCCCAGCAAGGATTGACCCCCCCCCAGCAATAGAAGATCCATCCCATGCAAAATAGTTCTCCCACCAGCAACAATAGACCCCCCCCACCACAAAAATAGATCCCCCAGCAGCCAGTATCAATTGTCCCTCCAGCACCCCTTAGCATAGATACATTCAGTGCTGGAGGTGCCGGAACTGCATTCCTCCTGATTATGTCTGCACTAAAGTTGCTCATAATTTATATACAGTATATAGGTTATGGATGGAGAAGACATAACTCAGATGACACAGGGGTGTACCTACAGGGGTTGCAGGGGTCACAATTGTGACCCGGCCCCATGATGCAGGGGGCTCTTACATCCCCCCTGTAGACCTGGATAGGAGGAGTGGCAGGAGCCAGGAGGACTGTGTACTCAATCTCCTTTCTTGGTCCCAAAGGTGGAACATCAGGGGTCTGTGTCACCAAAGCCCCCCAACGGGGCTCCTAAAAAAAATTATAATAAATAATTTTTAAAAAAAAACTGTAATAACTAAAATAAACAAATTAAAACAATGGTAATAAATGAATAGACAAATAAATAAAATAACAAAAATAAAAAAAAAAAACCTACTGACAGCAGTGGTGGAACTACCAGGGTCACAAAGGTTGCACTTGCGACCAGGCCTTGGCGTACCGCCACCAGGCTTGGAGGGAAGGGCCCCGGCTGAGGGTCAGGGTTCATGGTTGCTTGGGCCCTGAAACTTCTAGTTATGCCACTAAGATGACATGACTTTGGCAACATGACAATCAAGCACAACTGCATTGAATGTTGAGGGATTTCCTTTAGATATTTAGATATAATGTACATAGTTTAAATTTTCATTCACAAACTGCTTTTTCTTAGCACTGATCACTGTATTGGTGTCACTGGGGATGTCAGTGGCAGTTAGTCAGTGTGAGTTAGTGTCAGAATGCCCGCCGCAGTCTCGCTATAAGTCGCTGATCGCCGCCATTACTATTATAAAAAGAAATTCCAGTATCTATACCACCATTTGTAGACACTATAACTTTCATGTAAACCAATTAATTTACACGTATTGGGATTTTTTTCAGCAAAGACACGAAGCAGAATACATTTTGGCCAAAATTTATGATGAAATTTGATTTGAAAATTTTTTACTGGATATTTTATAGCAAAAAAGTCAAAAATATAGTTTTTTTCTCAAAATTGTCAGTCTTATTTTGTTTACATGCAAAAAATAAAAAGCGCACAGGTGATCGATCAAATACCACCAAAAGAAAGCTTTATTTGTGGGGGAAAAAGAACATAAATTTCATTTGGGTGCAGTGTTGCACGACCGCGCGCAATTGTCAGTTAAAATAACGCAGCGCTGTATCGCAAAAGATGGCCTGGCCAGGAAGGGGGGAAATCCTCTGGAGGGGAGGGGTTAATAGTACTCACAGCTCAATCAAGATAAGGAATTGCTGAGAGCAGTATGACCAAATAACACCACATTAGAATCCCCCCCCCCCGAGAATAAAGGGGTAGAAAGGGGTCTCCACCCCCCCCGGGAATCACCGCAGGTAAGCACTGGCACCTCCTAGAAACCAGCAAAGAGGAGAGAGACAGAAGGTGTGGCTTGTCTATGTCTATTATATATATAAACCACAAACTAATGTATTGATCCCACCGGATTGGATGACAGAAAACGCAAAACACCCAAATAGAGGGAAAGGATGACATATTGTACAGTCCTCAGCTGGGTAAGTCTTCCTCACCATACGGCCCCCACAGAAATCTATAAAGAGGTGCAACTCAATAAAATAATAAATATCCCATTTCCTCACAAATCGCACACTTATATAGGGGGGTTTGTGGCTGAATTCTGTAATAAGGATGTCGGCAAACATATCGGAAACCTCCCACAATTTCTGCAATAGTTTATATATGATATATACAGAAGATGGTAAATGTTTTGTTTCCTTAGGATGGCTGGATCCCCATTAATCTAATAAATCTCTCCCTATTGATACCCTTACACTCCATATTGGTTGTATAAACTGTCAGACACTTACCTGTAATGAAATCTCTCCAGAAACGTATCCAATATATAGGCAACATTAATAAAACTGAAATGATGAATAGAAGAGCAATTATCACACGCATCGTTCCTACAAGAGAAAAGAAGAAGAGATGTAAATATTAGTCACTCCCCAACATACTGACTATAATAAACCTATTGCTGCAATCACACAGCATTTATTTTACTGCAAGACGACGTTCACACTGAGGAGTTTTTGAAGCACTTTTGTGTTAAAAAAAAGTGCCTGAAAGAGCTCAAGAAAAAATGCTTCTCTATGTGTGTGTGTGTATATCTACAGTATGTCTGTGTGTGTTCTGTGTGTGTGTGTGGCTATATGTATGTCTGTGTATCTGTGTGTGCCTGTCTGTGTGTGTTTTCACGCTGGTGGGGCGTTGTGCTTCGCTGCTGTGGTGTAAATACTCCCTGCTTGCAGCATCTTTGGGGCATGTTTGTTCAGTTAATAAAAAACTGCTAAAAAAGCCCCAAAAACTCCTCTTCCCATTGAAATCAATGGAAAACGCTCAGAGAAGTATTTTTGGTGCAGTTTTTTTAACCAGTTCCACACCACCCTATAAGAGAAATGCAGCTACAGGGCAGCACGGAATGTGCGCAAAACAACTTATTATATATATGTGATTTTTGCCATTCCAGGTTGTGGCCTCGGCTGTCAATCATCGGGCCCAGTTGGTGATTTCTCGCCAGCACCTCGTGATCGCCAATGGAGGGAGAGACCTGCGTATAAACAACACAGATTTCTCCCCTGTCAGCTCCTGCACACTGCTTTATATGGCTCTGCGTAGCAGTGTGCTTACAGTGAAAAACAGCACACAGTAAAACACACACAGCACACAGTTAACCCTTTGATGGCCCCAGAGGGTAATCCCTTCCTGCTCACTGACATTAGTACAGTGTCAGTGCTTTTTATTTGCACTGATCACTGTATTGGTGTCATTGGGATGTCAGTGACACCAAGTGAGTCCCCCCCCCCCCCCCCAGTGTCAGAATGACCACAGCAAGCCCGCTATAAGTCACTGATCATCCTCCGCCATTACTAGTAAAATAAAGAAATAAAAAATCCCAGTATCTATACCGCCATTTGTAAACGCTATAACTTTCACGTAAAACCAATTAATTTACACGTATTGGAATTTTTGTTTTTAGCAAAGACACAGAGCAGAGTACTTTTTGGGGACTAAATTTATGATAAAATTAGATTTTTTAATTTTTTTTTGCTACATTTTATGTTTAATTGCAAAAAGTCAAAAACATTCTTTTTTCTAAAAAAAAATAATAAAAAAACCACACAGGTGATCAAATACTATCAAAAGAAAGCTCTATTTGTGGGAACAAAAGGACATAAATATTTAATTTGGGGTGCAGCGTTTGCATGACCGTGCAATTGTCAGTTAAAGTAATGCAGCGCTGCTTCGCAAAAAAATCGCCTGGTCAGGAAAGGGGGGGGGGGGGAATCCTCAGAAGGGCAAGTAGTTAAGAAAGGGTGTCCGTTTATGACACACAGAATAGCTGCGATTCAGAGGATCACAGCTATTCTCTGGTCATTCACAGTTTATGACACTCAGGAGATCATGTCAGCCCTTCTCTGGAGATCTGTGTTCTCCCTCCAGATTCTCCAGCCCAGAGCTGGAGAATCGGAGGGACCGCAAACTAAGCAGAGATAATTTACCTCTGTTTAGTAAAGTGATCTTTTACTGTAATCTCGCGAGATTATAGTAAAATCAGCCATTTTCCAGCGGTTTGTAGACCGCTCTCTCTTCGTTTGGAGAACTGATCTACATATGCTTCATAAACGGCATTCACAGGAGAGAACTGTGTTCTCCGAGAATGCCGGAGAACTGAGCAGCGATCGAAAATATTACTGCTGGTTCATAAACGGACACCTCTGTGCGACTTTTGAAAAGGTTCCTGGTGAGAATTCAGTCCCATAGACTTTCATGGTATCTCACAGAAAGTCACATCAGCATAGATAAGAAGCATTCCTATACACTTCCTTCAGCTGATCAGCTCTTTCTATGGTTGATCTCTCCTTTGTTCCCTGAACCTGGAACACACTTGTTAATATTTGGTAGACGTGCTATGCTCTTTGCTCCGAATCAAAACTGGGACTACATTTTCATAATTCAGAGAATTGGATATTTCCGAATTACAATAGAAACGAATTTCAACGAATCCAAAATAATGAAACAAATTTAGTTCGAAATAATTTGAATTGAATTTTGAAAACAAATTCGAACTGTAAACATATTATTATTATTATTATACAGTATTTATAAAGCGCCAATAGTTCGCTCAGTGCTGTACATTACAGAGGGGGACAGAACATGTGACAGAACAATACCAATACAATGCAAAACATGAGGGGATCGAGGGCCCTGCTCCTTGGAGCTTACAATCTAGGAGAACATATTGCTTATTTCCTTCAAAGACTGTGTATTATGAGTTTTATTGAAAAGAATAGAATAGAGTAAAACAGAATACATAGCATAATAGAATAGAATAGCATAGGAAAGAATAGAAAATAAAGTACAATAAAATAAAAAATAGAATAGAAAAAATATAACCGCCTTCCAAAATTAGAAAATAGAATAGAACCAGCTATTCTTCACAATGAATTTGGATCGATTCATTATTTTTATATTCAAATTCAGTTCAAATCCATTGGAAAAAATTAGAATTCGGTTGAAAACAAATAAATAAAAAAACTACATGAATTTTGTTACAAATGCAACAAAACAAAAATGATTAACTTTCCCAATCACTCAAAAATGAAACACATTTTTTTTCGTTCTGCACATGTCTAGCATTTGGTAATTTTTACTTTTATATGTTTGATTTTGTTTGTTTATATGTTTGTATATTTGTATTTCTCTTACCTGCTTGCAGACCGCCCGACATTGCTGCTATCCAGTTTTAGGGTGCTAACCCCCCGCTGTGATTGTATAAAGTGGGGGTTTGTCAGCAAGTCCCGGCCAATGATTCTTTAATATTTGCATATTTGTCTCACTTAAAAAATTATTCAGAAAAAAGCGGTACAAACCTGCCTGGCCTTATGTGAAGAATTGCCCCTCTCTCTTCACTTGCTAAATCATGATGAATGAACTGTGATTAACGGCATTTATTGGAAAGTTGAGTTAAATTTCACTTTCCACGCCCAGGCCTGATTACTGTCAGACCTGTTGAATCAAGAAATCAGTTAAATAGAAAAATGTAAAGGGACCCAGGATGCTCTAGGGCTTGCTTGATGATGTGCTGTTGAGCATGGAGTTTTACCAACTCAAAAAAAATTGTTGCCTTTGGTCTGAGATCATCATAAGCATGCATGTTATCATTTCTATGATCGTTGGCGAAGTAACTGATATTTCTTTGTAAAAAAACAATCAATCAGTTTCAAAAGAAATGAACAAAATACCAATCTCATGTGACATCACTAAACACCCGCCCCCTACATGCCTTTAGGACTTCCTGCAGAAGGCTCCTCTGGTCCACCAACATTCTGGTGTTACAAACCCAACTCTACTACCTGGGGGGCTGTACAAGAGGCCTGTTGGCTGATGCATGGCTTACATTGTATACCAGATTGTGGACATATCTGGACTTTCACAAACTTACCATCAAAAATTCCAGAAGTATAATGATAAACCATACAAGACCAATACTGTGATGAATAATACCATAACGATTACCCCCCCAAAACAACTTTCATCCTTGGACCCGATCCTGTAAAAGAAAAGCACAATAAGTGTAATTGTATTTCTGAATGTCTGGAAAAACAATCCCAACAACAATTTCTGCTTTTCCTGACTATAAACCGATGTCTACGATGTTTCCTTCACTTTAACAGCTCCGCATCTTAACCTCCTCCCAAATGTGAGGATTGGATAGCTCTTCATATTTTCCTCAAGCAAGAGTTTGCTTTTTTTTTTCATTTTCTGCCCCAGGATGCTTCCTGACTGGTGATGAATGAACTGGTCTGGGTTCAGATTAGATTCTGCAGAATGAAAACATCCTTTTCCTTTCCTCCTTTCCCCGGAAAGGATCGCTATGCAATCACATGATCACTATGTAAGCAAAGCTGTTATGAATCAATCTCATTCATAACAGCTCTGCTCCTCTTCATAGTGATCTGTGATTGGCCCACAGCTGTCACATGATACATGAGGCCAATCACAGCACCCTGTACCATGTGACCAGCTCCAGCCAATCACAGATCACTATCTTGAGCTGTCAAAAACCAAACTCATTCATGACAGTTCAATTATGACTTTGGTTCTGACAGCAAGCTTTGCATTGTAGGGGAAATGATCTTTATTTCTCCTGCAAAGCAAAGTGTAAAAAACAAATAAAAAATCCCTGATCACCCCGCCCACACACAGTAGTACAATGTTACTATGGTAACATTGTACTATTCTGATAAAAGTATTTAAAAAAAATAATAATAATAAAAACGTTTTAAAAAAAAATACCATATTGAGAATTTTTTTTTAAGTTTTTTTTTTAAAACTTGTCAACTGCTTACCTGCATTTTGCAGGCGAGCAGCAGCTCTTGGCAAAAGTGACGTAATCTTGCATCACTTCCTATTTTGGGGTGTGAATGCAACTGCCCCCCCCCCCCGCACCCATCAGTTCAGGGAGAGAAGTGAGAAACACAGCACTGAGTAAAGCACCACTACATTTTACACACACACAGGTTAGATTAGCACATTTAACCCTTTGATCACCCCTATTAACCCTTTGATCGCCCAATCACCCAGCCAAGTGCCATTAGTACAGTGTCAGTATATAGAATGTGTCACTGATCACTGTATTCCTGCCACTAGTGACATCAGATAGCTTCAGGGTTAGTTAGTTCCCCTCCCAGCCAGGGTCAGTTAGCGTTAGATTGCCCGCAGACTATCGCACTCACGCTATAGGTCGCTGATCACCGCCATTACTAGTATAGTGTTTGTATGGATCAATATATTGATCATGAATAGAACTATACTAGTGCCTCCTTTGTATATATAATGCAGAGTTAGTAGGATGGCCCCGTTTGCTGACAGCACTAGCGTTTAGCCCCTCCGCTGTTTTTCACGGAAGATTTGTACCAATTGGTTGTTGGCCAAGGCAATTTATATGCGCAACAATACATTAACACCCACACAAATTCAGCTCTTGCCAGACAATTCACATGGAAACCCAGTGGTGTATTTAGGTTTTGTGCTGCCCTAGGCAACACAAAAAATTGCCCCCCCCCCCCAGCATGGAGAGACCCTGACATCAACCAATACCCCCCTCCCCCACAAAGACATTGATCAACAAACATCTCAGCCACACCTGAGAGAGCCTTCTACAACCACCGCCCCCCCATACACTGGCAACCCCCCCCACCCCGTGAGAGAGAAGACACTCACCTTCACAGCTCCGGACATCCGGAACAAGGGTCAGACTCTGCATACAGCATCAAGCAGCCTGCAGCCTCTATCAGATCCCACGTGATTCCCATGCTGCTTGTGTCCCTCCTTCCATCCCTTCTTTAGGGAGGCGGCGCTGCCCCCCTGAAAAATGCTACTGCCCCCCTGAAAGATGCCGCCCTAGGCAAATGCCTTGTTTGCCTTGTGGTAAATACACCCCTGTGGAAACCTATCACAGTTTCTGAATTTAAAACTCTTTTGGGCCTAACCCTCAGCATGGGCATTACAAATGAATGAACTGCAGTCATGTTGATCCACAGAACTGATTCATCGTATGCCTGTGTTCTCTTCTGGTACATATATGCCCAACATGGACCAGCAATGTACTGGCACGTCGCTGGACTTTGAGTGGTTTATACCGGGATGTTGCCTGCAGCTACAGG